CATCATCATCATCATCATCATCATCATCATCATCATCATCATCATCATCATCATCATTATCATCATCATCATCATCATCATCATCATCATCAGCATCGTCATCATCATCATCATCATCATCATCATCATCATCATCATCAGCAGCATCATCATCAGCATCATCATCAGCAGCATCATCATTATCAGCCGCAGCATCAGCATCAGCATCATCATCAGCATCATCATCAGCAGCATCATCAGCACCATCAGCCGCATCAGCATCATCATCATAAGCATCGTCATCATCAGCAGCAACAGCAGCATCATCAGCATCAGCATCAGCATCATCAGCAGCAGCAACAGTACCATCATCATCATCGTCATTATCATCATCATCATCATCATCATCATCATCATCATCATCAGCATCAGCATCATCATCATCATCATCAGCATCAGCCTGAGCATCATCAATAACATCATCATCAGCATCATCAGCATCATCAGCATCATCCTCAGCATCCGCATCATCATCGGCATCATCATCACCACCATCATCATCATCATCATCAGCATCAGCATCAGCATCATGAGCATCAGCACCATCAACAGCAGCAGCATCAGCATCATCAGCATCATCCTCAACAACAGCAGCAGCAACATCAGCAGCATCATCATCATCATCATCATCACCATCATCACCAGCGACATCAGCAACATCAGCATCATCAACATCAGCGACATCAGCATGATAATCATCAGCAGTAGAAGCAGCACTCGCAGCCGCAGCCGTTTCATCATCAGCAGCATCATAATCATCATCATCATCATCAGCAGCAGCAGCATCAGCAGCAGCAGCATCATCCTCATCATCATAATCATCATCATGATCATGATCATCATCATCATCATCATCATCATCATCATCATCATCATCATCATCATCATCATCATCATCATCCAGCATCAGCGTCAGCATCAGCATCGCCATGACAGATTCATCATCATCAGCAGCAGCATCGTCATCAATAACATCAACAGCATCATCATCCTCAGCATCACCCGCGCCCTCCTCCCCGTCCTCGCTTCCTCCTCCGACTCCTACGCATTCTCATCCTCCTCATTCTTCCCCTCATCATCCTCCTCTTTGTACTCCGCCGCGATGTCCTCCTCTCCCTCGTCGTCCTCTTCAGTCCCCGCCGCTTCATCCTCCTCCACCTCCTCATCAGCATCAGCAACATCATCATCATCATCCTCATCATCCGCATCATCGTCCACATCCTCATCATCATCATCATCATCATCATCATCAGCAGCAGCATCATCATCATCATCATCATCATCATCATCAGCATCATCATCATCATCAGCATCATCTGCAGCAGCAGCATCATCAGCATCGTCATCCTCACATTCATCACCATCCACATCATCAGAAGCACCATAATCCGCGTCATCAGCATCGTCATCAGCAGCATCATCACCACCACCACCATCAGCATCATCAGCATCACCATCAGCAGCATGATCATCAACAGCATCATCAGCATCAGCATCAGCATCGTCAGCATCAGCATCAGCATCACCAACAACATCATCATCAGCATCGTCATCACACCAAACGTCATCATCATCACCAGCATCATCATCATCATCATCAGCAGCATCATCACCATCACCAGCAGCATCAGCATCATCATCGGCATCAGCATCATCATCAGCAAGAGTCGCAGTATCATCAGCATCATCATCAACATCAGCATCCACACCATCACCAGCATCATCATCAGCAGCATCAGCATCATCAGCGGCATCAGCATCGTGATCATCATAATCAGCATCATCCTCATCATTAGCAGCATCGTCAGCATCAGCATCGTCGTCACCCGAATCAGCATCAGCATCATCATCATCAACAGCAACATCAGCTCATCATCGTCATCGAAAGCATCAACCTACTCAACATCATCAACATCATCATCAACAGCAGCATCATAAACATCAGCATCATCAGAGTCAGCAGCATAAGCATCACCAGCAGCAGCTACACCAGTAATATGATCAGCATCATCATCAACATCCGCGTCATCATCAGCAGCATCAACAACAGCAGCATCAGCGTCATCAGCATCATCAGCATACACAGCATCATCACCATCACCAGCATCTGCATCAGCATTATCAGCATCATCATCAGCAGCATCAGCATCATCAGCAGCATCATCATCGTCACCGTCATGATGATCATCATCATCATCATCAACCGCATCACCAGCATCAGCATAAGCATCATTATCACCACCGTCAACAACAACATCAACATCATCAGCATGATACGCTGTTTCGTTAGGCGGAGAACCGAGTTCTGATAACGACGGCTCGCTGCGATAAGCGACCTGCTCCTCCAGAGCTCTGGGGCAAGGGGCCGAAAAGGCCCCGCTCAGATGGAACCGAAAACAGTCAGACGAAAACCCCCCCGCCGCGCGGGAGCCCCCACTCCAGGGTTTGGCGGGCTGGGAGAACCGAGAAGGGCTGCGGTCGCAATGCTCCCTGCTAATCGTTGGCAGACGACACCACAGTCCCCGCTTAATCATATCCGCGCACGCACCCCCATGATACGCTGTTTCGTTAGGCGGAGAACCGAGTTCTGATAACGACGGCTCGCTGCGATAAGCGAGCTGATCCTCCAGAGCTGTGGGACAAGGGGCCGAAAAGGCCCCGCTCAGATGGAACCGAAAACAGTCAGACGAAAACCCCCCCGCCGCGCGGGAGCCCCCTGCCCCCTACACAGGGTTAGCATTATAGATAGAGGCTCTCGCGAGGGACTGGAGGGAGTGAGTGAGCGCGTGGATTAAAAGCGCTGGGCGTTTAAGTGAGTAACTAGTGTGGTTCGCTCCGAAGTTATCTCTGCCCCGTAGGCGGGTATGAGGGACGCCAGTCCTATCACAAATGCCTGTGCAGCTGCCACAAGTACGGGCCAATATCGATATGTTTTCGGGCTCCGTGCCAACGCGTATGTATATACAACGGTGTCTCCAGGAGGCTCCGAACATGCATCTGTCACTGACAACTTTCGTCGCGAAAATTTCTGGCACCTCGGGCTGGCTCAAAAGATGTGGCCAGAGCCAGCTACCCTGGGGTATATCCAGGAGGAGCGGCACTCGAGCTTGCCAGGCAGCGGCAATGAGACGCTTCAAACGCTCCGCACACCTCTGCAGACGGCGGCGGCCTGCTAGCCTCCCTGCAGCTTTGCTCGCCGACGGCAGCGTGGGCGACAGGAAAAGCACGACCACCTCGCCACGCCGCATGTGCGCCTGGAGGCGGCGCTCCAGGGGCGCGCCCAGCCGCTCGTCACAGAGGGCGTCGCCTCGCCACATCCAGGTAGGCACCCCACTCTCGGCGAGGCCCGACCCGATCGTGGCCAGCTCGTCCCCGATCAGGAGCGCTTTGCACCGCTCGGCGAGGGCTGGGTGCCCCCTGGCAGCGGCACCGCTCGCCCCCACACCAAGGCGCGCTCCAGCTCGCGCAGGCACTGGTCGCCGTACGCCTCCAGCATCGGCCCGTGCATCTGCGCGCGCTGCCCGAGGCGCGCGCTCTTCTCGTAGCGCGCCATGTTCTTCAACTGGCGCCAGCCTCCTCGCCGCTGCACCTCTGCCTGCGTCCTCTCGCCGCTGGCACGGTCGATGCCGGCGCCCGAGTGCCGCGCCTGATACGGCGTGACGGGCCGCAGCTGCAGCATGCGGCAGGCCGCCTTCATCTCGCGCAGCAGCTCGGGGTAGTCGAACTCCCACACAGGCTGCCGAGGGTCGAGCATCTGCATCTCGCTCAGGACTGGCCCGATCCACCGAAGCCACGAGGAGTCCAGCCTCACGCTCAGGTCGAACTCTCCCACCTTGTCGGGCGTCGCTCGCTCCTGGGGGTGCATGAGGAGTCCCCAGTGCTGACTGCCACCTCCTGGTTTCACTATGTCGCCAGGGCGCAGACGGAACAGGGACGACGGCCCGAGGTAGGTCGACACAGCCAGCGCCAAGGACACCGCCATCATCCGTCGCCCCCGTACCACCAGAACATGCATAAGGGCACACCAGATGTTCAGCGGCTCGGGCATCATGGCTCTCCCAGGCGCCAGCCGCTTCCATCCTTTCAGCGCCTTCCACATCCGTGGTAATGTGTCCGCGCCCAAGCGCCCAAACCTTGGGTTGAAATGGCTCACAGCCGCCGCGACATACATCCCCGTCGAAGCCTGCTCGCCCAGCAGGTACAGCGAGGTGAAGTAGTGGACCAGGCAGGCGCCCATCGTCTCCGCTGGCATCTCGAAAAAGTCCTGGCGGCCACACCTCTGCTTCAACTGCTCGAGCACTCTCTGATACTGGGCCCTCACCCGCGGCGTCACCGTGCCCGACTCCAAGCATCGGTCGAGCGGCACCCCGCCCTCGATCGCACGAGCCACCGCGTGGTGCCGCCTCTTCACACGCCTCGCCAGCGTCCTCTGCCGCTTGAGCTCGACGGCGGCCTCGGATTCGCTGGCAGCGCCGCTCGAGCTCTCCCTAGCTGACCAAGCCCGCTTTCCAGTGACGCGCTTCGGGCGGCGGCAGGTTGCGCATCCGCCGCCGCCCCCGGGCACTGCACTCGCGAGCCCTCCGCTGGCACTGGCGGCCCTCGGCCATCCAACGGGGCCCCGCTCGCGCCTCGAGCTCTCTCCCACGTGAGCACCCTCAGCCGCGACGCCGACGATGGCTCTGCTGCTGGGGAAGGGCCCGTCGCGGTCGGCCGAGCTCTCGGCAGCGCCCGAGGCGCCCGCAACGGCCTGAGCCAAAACGGCTACGGAGTGAGACCGAGACGCAGGGGCCCCACCGGATCCAGAGGAGCAGGGAGCCCCGAGGACGAGAAAGGAGGGGTGACGGCGATGCTCGTTTGTGTCCAGAGCTCTTGGCTGGTGCACCGAAGCGGGGCTACTCGATTGCTCACATTCTGCATTACAGCAACTAGAACAGACTGGCTTATGAACTGATTGGCTTCGCCAAGGGCTATGAAGGGACGCGTGGATATTTTTTCCTTTTCAAATTTCATTTTAGTGGTCTCGTGCCGAACAACGACAGATCTTATTGAACTGATCTGCTCAACAAAAAAACAAACGCGCGCAAAATCCACTGCGGATGCCCTCAGAGGAAAACGAACCATGGAATGCTGCATAAGCGGCGCCCGCATTCCGCCCGCAGTCCAACTGCAGACAAAACCACAAATGATCAGCCCACCGGAAAGTTCACGAGCATTGCGGCGGGGACGGTCATACATCGAGCGAGGGCAGCGGAATTATAGCCGTCTGATGGAGCCCAGCCAACGGCTACAAACATACAGCCGCAAACTGGAGGCAAAGAAACAAGAGCAGCGCGAAAGAAGGTCACTGCGAAACCGAACAGATGTCTCTAGGAAGGCGAATGCCTGCCAACGCGCCGCTTGCAATTGTTAATCGCACTGGCCCGCGGTAAACCCCGGCGGCAACGCCCAGACGCCAACAATAACACCTAGACGCCCGGTGAAGTCATTGACGCGTTGCTCAAATCCTCGCGAGCCAATCCATGAACAACCACAAGGCGAGTCGCCCTGATCAAGGCCGGGTAATCGGGCAAGCGGCGAAAATAGCGAGCCCCATCCGTATTCGCGGATGACGAGGCGCAGCCAGCGGAGCAAAGGAGAGGAGGGCAGAACATGAAAATCATACTGAACACGGTGAAGAGAAGGAGCACGGTGATAGGAAAGACTGGAAACGTGCAAAAGCATGAGCAGGTAGGAACACGGAAAAGGAGCTTGGGGGAGGTAGGAAGAAGCACAAGAAGCCTGAGGGAGGCAAAAGGCGCACCAGTGATCCGCGCGGAACGCGCGTGCGCCGCGCGCCCTCACCAGCGAGGGCGTAGGAAGAGGTGGGAGGATCAAGGAGCAGGAGGAAGTAGGAGGAAATAGGAGGGGCAAGAACATGCAGAAGAAAGCATTTGCAGACTCGAACCCCAAACAAGTTGCGCTAAGCATGAAAGCGAAGTGAAGCAACATGCAACGCAAGAAAAAACGAGGACAACCGTTACATTAGGGAAAAGAAAAAGGCGCAGGAGTAATTAATCGGAAGATGCGCAGGAACGGGGAGGGAGCAGAAAAAGGAGGTCACAGAAGAGGGGCGAGGAGGAGGAGGAGGAGGGCAAGGAAGGGAAAGATAAAGGATAGAGAAGAAAAAACACGCTGACGACGACGGGCATCAATCATCGAGGATCTCGAGTCGTTCGATTTAGGTGCCTGCGGGACGCCCCATCAACGTCGTCATATCGGTGCCGCCGCGGCGCTCTCTTAGGGCAATTATGGCTGCCTTTGGCGGCTGTCTTGGAGCCCCTTGGGGCCCTCTTCGGGTCGTTTCGGGGATCTCCTGGGCCCCTCTTGGAAGCCTCGGGGGTCCTCCTGGGGCCATCTTGGAGCCGTCGGTCAAAGAAGTGGGGCCCTAGCAACGCCCCATTCCTTCTCGAGCCCCCCAGTCGCCAAATGCGGCCCTCTTGCGACGCCCTTGAAGCGTTTTTGGGGCCGCTCTCTGGTGCTCTTGGAGCCGACTTGGGCCCTGGTGGCCCCTTCTCAAAGCAAGTTCAAACCAACTCGCAGCCATCTCGAGGCCTCTAGAAACTACGGCAAGCAAAAAGGCGAGAAGGAAAAAATTGAAGTGCACAGTGATTGTAGAGGAGTTGAACCTGTTGGAGGCCTCCTTCAAGAGCTCGAAAGACAATTGCGGGCTGTCACGAAGCGGTCTTGAGGGGGCTTGGAGGCACATTGGAAGCAAAATTGTACCATCTGCAAGTATATGGAGCGATCTCGGAATCCTTCCTGGGTTGCGTGCGGTTCCTTTGGAGCCATCTTCGGCCATTTCGGGCGCCCCACCGCCCCGCGGTCACTCTCTGTCCACGCCGGGGGGCGAGAGGGCAGGGGGGGGGGGCCCGTCCCTGCCAGGGAGAAACGCGCGAATAAGCTAGCCCGTCAAACCACGACCCGCGCCCTGCATGGCTGGTGGGATTTTTCCACGGCCGCCTGGGAATACTATCCCGGATTCTCGAGTGAATTCTGCACGGATTTTTCCAAATCCAAATGCGAATTTGCCCCGGAAGCCGCGTGATTTTCTCCGGGTGCCCTCCGGATTTGTCCGCGCGCGTTTTTTCGACGCGCGCGCCCAACGAAAAATCCACCAAGAATTCGGAGAGGCATTCAAAACGAGTTGTTGTTTTTCTCCCCGAAGTTTCCACTAGGCCGCGCGCGGAGCCTGGAAGGAGGGAGGGGGGGGGGAGAAGTCACAGGGAGCGGGGGGGCACGCCGCAGGAGAGGGCCGGAGGGAGACAGGAATCCCAGCACCCCTTTAAGCGTGAGCGGCGTGACGAAGTAATTCATCCAAGCCCACTCTTCCCCTTCATGGACACGATTCCCCAGTTCCCCGCCCAATCCTTCATGCGCGGGAAGGTAGCCGCGGGTCGTTGGAGCGCCCAACGCGGCCCAAAATGTATCCGAGATGGCTGCAAGGAGCCCAGATACGCCTCCAATATCGCTCAATGCATCCCAGGACGATTCCGAATAGCCTCCAACATGCCTCTGAGAGTCGTCAAGACCGCTTCAAGACGGCCCCGCGTGCCCTTCGAGCTCTCCAAGGAGGCCTCCAAGACAAAAAAAAATGAAAACCATTGTGTGCTATGTGTTATGTCTCGTCGCCTTTTCGTTTTCCATGGGCTCTTGAGGCCTCGAGATGGCCGCGCTGGCCTGAGATGGCCCTCCAGAAGAACCCGACAGGCCCCAAGACGGCGCCGAGAGCGCTCAAGAGCAGCCGAAGAACGCCCCAAGAGAGCGCCAAGAGGCGACGTGGGCGGCACCAGAGAGGGGGCGCTGCAAGGACCCCCCCCCCCGCACTCTTTGACTGACGGCGTTTCCAAGATGGCCCCGAGAGGGCCCCCAAGGCCTCCAAGACGGGCCCACGATACCCCGAAGAGGATCCCAAGGAGGCCCGAAACAGCCTCAAGAGGACCCCGTCGGCTCTCCCAAAATGGCTCCAACTTAGCTCCACAATGGCCCACAAATCACCAAGGGGCTTCTAACAAGAGCCGTGTGCGAAAAAACAAACAAAATCCTCCATGATTGATTCTGGCCGTCGTCGTGACTTTTTCTCTCCCATCCTTCCTTTTCCTACTCCTCGTCCTCATCCCGCCCCTCCTCCGTTTCCTCGTCATCCTCCTCCTTGTCCTCCTTCCCCGCTGCTGTTAATCCTCCGATTCCTCCTGCGCCGTCCTCACGTTTCTAACGTAAACAGCGTCGCCCTCTTGGTTGAGCACCATGCTGGCACGCGCTTCTGATCAACACAAGTTGCCTGGGCACCGTCTCTGGAACTGCTTCGTCCTGAGTGTTCTCACCCCCATGTCCTCCTACCTCCCCCATGCTCCTCCCACCCCCCCACCCGGCACATTCCTACATCCTCGTGTACGAAAGGGTGCGGCGCACTGGTGTTCTGCGCGGATCACCAATGCGTTCGCTACCTCTCCCTGGCCCCTGGTAACCCTCCCCCCCCCCCTCAGGTCCCTCATCATCCTTCCGACCTTCTCATGCTCTAGCATGTTGCTGTTTCCTCCAGCACGCGTTCATCCTTTTGCTGTTCCTCTTGTTTCGTTACTACTGGTCCTTCGCCACCATATTTGTTCCTTCGCTTCCTCCACCTCCTCTTCCTCCTCCCGCACAGAACCAATGAAAACACATTCGGTTCGCTGCGGCGCCGCGTGCTGCTACACATGCTGATCGAGGCAACTCGCCCGGCGATTGCTTTTGCCTTGGCTGGCGGAAATACGCGAGGCGTCGGAAATGAAGGCAAAAAGGCGGATGAACAGTAGAATCCCGCGGACCACGGCCGAAACGCGTCAGAACATATGCGAGGAGACAGGTCTGCAAGTTGTTCTGGACCCCTACAAAGCCTGTCTTGGGACCCTAGGGCCTGCTTGCAATCCTTCTCGGGACCTGCTGGACTCTCCTCGAGCTCACTTGCAGCTTTCCCGGCGCCCTGTTGGATCCTGCCGCAGGCCCTGACAAAAGAAGATGACAGCGGGAGGGAAATGAAGAGAACAACAATGCAGGCAAGAGGAATAAGATAAATGACTACGATGAGGAAGAATCAAGGGCACGGAAGACATTCGAAATTCGCTGGCCACGCGGCACTCACACGAACGCCAGAGCCACATGATCGATTGACGTGCGCATATCAGAAAAAATAACATAAAAATGAAAAACGAAGGCGCATATCCACGCTGAATTCACTCTTAGCACCGGCGAAACCAAGAACTGACTCAGGTTCAGCACGCCGACAGCTTAAGGGGGCCGAACGGCGTGCACGGACACGGGGGGGTCGTCGCCAACTATACTATTCGACTCATCCTCGCCCCTGAGAGTCGACTCAGGGGGAAGAGAAAAGGCAGGCAGAGAGACAGGAATCAGACGCGTTAGAATCTTGGATGGCTCGCCACCGTCGGCCCGCGAGCCTTCGTCACTATTGTTAAGCTCACGTGGGACCCAGCGGACGATCGCCCTAAGGTTACGATTTAAAAGATAGGCAGCGAGCTTGCGAATATGCCGCAATATCGCGAAGCTACGACACCTACATCTATCAAGCGCTAGTGCTACACCAAGGCTATAGACTAACCAGATCTGCCTGGCACTGAAGGCCGAAACGAGTGAGTGCAATACGCCTCAGAGACTTCACGAGCGCCCTGGACTCTAGAATGCCGATGTGCTCACTGTACCGCCACGTCCCCTGGCCTACGTTACGCCAAGGCTGATGAGACAGGAGAGAGGTGGGCACCTCACAGAACTCGGGGCCCATCTCGTAGTTACCCCTGGGCAGCGTGGATTCGGTCAAGGCCTTCTCAACTTCGTCGACACAGAGAGCGACGCCCTCTCCCCTGGCGGTCAGAAACTCCCCAAGACCCGCGGCAGAGAGGGCGGAGCGACGAGCGTCAGCCCCCCCCCCCCCCTCCCCCCCCTTCGGCACGGAAACGACCCCTCTCCCGCCAGCGCCCCACGGAGTTGAGAGCCTCGAGGTCCCAGAAGCCCCCCGCTATACCAAACCCGCTCTCTGAAGCATCTGAACGCTGCACCCATCGATTATATGGCAACCACCAATATGAGACGACCAGGGGAAGCAAGCCTCGAAATACCTTCAATTCTTCTCGGCAACTATTCCAAAGTGTTGCTGGATATTTGCCCATTTTAGTCACAAGCC